TGAAGCCTCAGGACATGGGGGGGCTGCATACAACTACATCATCATTGGGGATCAGTGACGGGGGAGGCAGAGGAAGCCCCATCATGGACATCCCCTGGGAGCAGGATGAACAATAACAGGACACTGTGCCCTGCATATTAAAGCATATTAATGTTTTCTTAATGCTCTGAGTTTGGCTATTTGCATGGCCAAACTCCCAAACAGCTGTGAGGAATAAGATCTGAAGCAGGGGGGGAAAGATGAGCCAAAAAAAAGAATATGGCATTTAAAGTAGATCTCCCTCAATAACATGCTGGAAAAAAATGCTGTAGTTCTTTTGAAAGTTGAAGGGTCCTCTTCACAGCCCTTAGGAAGCATTTAACATCTGATTCACATCATATTCATCAACTTGTATATCATCTTGGGATTTGAGTTTGTATCCTGACCAGTTCCAGTTGTGAGAAGAGACCCAAATCCTTAATATTTTAGAACATTAATAGGACGTAGGATGACATAGTGCCATAGAGTAGGGATGGGATTGGAGCACTGAAACGTCCAAATAACAACTATGTTTACATGTTGGCATTTGAATTTAGGTGCTGACAGCAAGAGCAAAGGACAAGAATAGTGCTTAGAAAGGGCTACCCCTGGCCACAAGATCATCTGCCCATTAGATGATGCCATGAAGAAAACCAGAAACTTTGTCAAAATAAACAGCAATTATTTCCAAAACCCAGTTAGTGAGGGCTCTGGGGTACCCTGAAACATGGAGATTTTATGTTCTCTTTAGGCACAGCTCTTATAAAGTCCAGGTTTAAGTACTTAGGGGAGGGACAGGGTCTTTTCAAAGGGCCAGTCCCACTTTCATTAACCTGGACACTGCCCTGTTTGTATGCTCCCTGGGTTGCCAGAGTCAGATGGTGGTATGCCCTTCCTGAGGAAGTGCTCCTTCCCAAGCTCCAGAGAAAGCCCTGCCAGTGAGCTGGTTAAGCTCCAGCAGCCCCAGGAACAGACAAGCTTCAGCTGCTATTAAGAGGAAGGGAAGCTGGCAAACTGTTTTAGCTGAGGCAGGATGTGGTCTTGTCTCATGCCCTGGATAAGATCTACTCCTACTACCCACCCGGGACACAAAGCTGCTCCACATTTTAAGAGCAACCACGGGCAACTGGACCTGATTTTACATATCTCTTAGACTTCCCAAGTCCAGGAAGCAATCCATAAATAGGCAGGGGTCACCAGTAAGGAAATGAATGAAGCACATTTGCTCTTTTGCTCATTAAAGTGCCACCAAGAAGCAAATGCCATTATAACTTATAGGTGACTGCAAAGCAAAGGCACACCACAGCCACACCTGTAGTCCCTACCCTGGCAATAGCAGTGCTCGTGGAAATAAAAACCAGTGCAATAGGTAAGGGTCTCAAGAGTCGTCTTTTGTAGCTACTCATTTATTCATCTCAGTACTTGCTTTGCTTGACTTGTTACTGCCTCCTCCATTTTCTTTCTGAGGAGTTTTCAACAGATTTTGCATCAAGGAACTGTAAGTCAGCTGTTCTGATAGATTTCTTTTGTTGCAGAGCAGAGACATCTATGCAAGCACAGCAGGACACCAGCTCTGTAAGACACAGAATTACATCCCCACTGTCCCTCTTGCACCTCTCAGGACAAGCTTATTCCACTCTGACCCTGAAGCAAACACTAGTTTTGCAACTGCCTGGGCCAAAGTCATGTCATTCCTGATCAGTCCCTATCCTTTTCAGGGCAACCTTGCCATGGCCCTGCCCTCACTGGACAACACGCTTTCCTGCCTTTGAGGCCCTCACAGCAACAATGAACATTAACTGAGGGTCAGGTCAGTTGAAAGCAAGGGCAAGGTCACCATACTGCCACACTGGGAAGCAACCCTGGGGGAATTTCACCCTGCCTGCTGGAGTTCAGCAATGATTTGCCCAGATGGGAGCTTTGTCCCTGCAGGTGACTATCTAAGGGTAGAGGTGTCTTTTTCCCTGTTCACAGTATCCTCATTTAAAACCAGTGTTCCCCAGCAGTGACAGGGACCAGTAACACAAACAGCAAAGGGGAACCACAGGACCATTGTGCTTATTTTGCTCTGCAACCACAAGTCTGTTAGAGTTGCTGGGTAATCTGTGAAAGCTGCTGGGTATTTCCTGGCAGACCCAGTGCTGTCCCTGATGTTCCCTGAGACACAGGACCACAGGCCCTACAGGGAGCTGCAGGTCCCCAAGCCTGAGCCCAGATCACTCCAAAGGAAGGCCTCTGTAGAGCACACTTATAAGGCTATTATCTTATGAAATATTAGGAGCCTTTCACCTATGCACCCCTTTTCACACTCCGGAGTTGCTTCATGCCCATCCTATCTATCCCTGTGACTAGCCAATAAAATAGGAGAAAATAAAACAACTTTTTTTTTTTTATTTTAAGTCTGCAAATCTGTTGCAAGTTGTAACATGACTGAACCAGGTTTGTAGTCACCTTGAGTCCCCAACAGAGATAAGTTTCTGTTATATTATGCCGCTGCTTTGTAAGAAAAAACAAAGGCAGACTTCATGAAGGGATGGATCCCACCATTCCCAAATTAGGATCTCTCCCTATGTTGAAGTCTACAGAGCTGGTACAAGATTTCCCAGCCATAAAATATATTTATCTTTGTGTACAGAGAAGGAAACAACTATGCAGCAATAGGGACAATCCCCTCGGAAAACCCTAAACATTGTAAATAAAAAATATGCAGAGAAAATAAAATAAATAAATAATAAAAGAGGTGGAGGCAAGACTTTTGAAAGAGTATTTATTCCAGTTTACCTTTCCATGCTACTGCCCTAAAGCAGACTACCTGGCAAGAGTTGCACCTGCTTCAGTTATGTTCTGGGGTTTTGACATGGATATAGATTTTGTTGCCCTTTGAAGCACTTTGCCTGCAAGAATAACAAGACATGAATATCAACTAGGAATGAAGGTGTTCGGTGAGCACCTAACTTCAAGTTCTTCACCTGCTCTGCCTTGGCCCCAAGAAAATTATCTATTCTTCCAGGTTTGTTCTGGCTTCTTAGTAGATGCAGGTGCTTCACACAAAGTTGCTATTGAGACTGCCCTTTTTTTATTCTGCTATTAAGGTTTTTTTAAACACAAATAATGTTTATAATGGTGTTGCACCACATTTGAGAGACTAGTGCAGTTTTATTCACAAGACAGTAAAGGCTTGGGCTTCTTTTTTTCAGATGCCTAGGTGAACATGTGGTAAAAGAAGTCCAAAGTCTGTCCAGTGAGAGTCTCAAAATTAACCAGCAACTTCTTGGAAACAAAGAAGGCAGCCAAGTAACCCCTGGGCTTCCCTAAGGGCCTCTGGACAGAGGTTTTGCCCAATTTCAAGGGAAAGCTGGTAAGAGCTCATCTTCATGACTCACCTGTGAAAGTTTTCAACATCCTCCACAGTCTCAGGCAAAACCCTTCCTTTTGTTTCAGGCAAAAGCAACACCAATCCACCCGCAGTCAAACCAAGAATAGCTTCAAATCAAACACAGACACAAAGAGCTTGTAAGCATATACCAACCACAGCCTGACAGAAAGGACGTGTCAATGGCATTTTATTATCTTCTTCATACAAGATGTGCACCTAGAGCCTCTATATGCAAAGCTGCCACGCCACCTCTGGAGGGTGTGGCTACCATAGAGAGACAGCAACAAGACAAGTTCTCTTGTGAGGTATGCACCAAACTAGGACACCTCAGACTGGACAGGCAATCCTTCTGTCTTCAGAGGAAGGTTTTATAGCAGAAGGAACCCTTTCCATTGCAAGAGTATGGCAGAAAACCTATTCTATTTCTATGCTATTCACATAAGATTAGAAAATACATACAGAACGTATTATCTCCTAAACAATGTGATTAACTTCTCCACTGATAATTTCTTTTACCCAGTTTGTATGTATTTGGCGTATATATTTTAAATCTACTAAGCACCTTCTAGATGCCCTGTCTGTTAAAAACTGTATATTTTTATTCAAAACATTTTTCTATAAATAATGCGCTGATCTGAAGACTCAGAAAAGTGTTGCAGACCCTGAACTGAGAGTTCAGGTCACTAGTCTGCAAACACTTATCTTGCATATATTTACCAGCCTCTTTCCAAATAGCTGAAGAATAGCCAGTTCACAGACTGTAGGAAAAGCTGAAGCATAACAGCTGTGCTTGTATTCCCTTGAACAGGCAATTCTGTAGTTATGTGACATTTGAAGGTTTGGCTCCTGGACCGAGACAATATATCTCACAGAAGAGCAGTAATTCATCAGCTTTGAATCCATCAAATATTAATGTCAAAATTTTTCTCAGCTCTTTGCCACCTGTTGAACCTGTATTCACCTATGACTTCCTTTAAAAGGCAAGGAGAAATTATAAGGGCAAAGGAGATATGAAAGCATAAACAAGCTCCAGGTTGCTATAAACTGAAAGCTATGGCTTCATAGACAGCAAGGGGCTTCTGCTGAACTTACAGCAGCTGCCTCGGTGGCTTTTCCCTCCCTTTGAAATTCAGGTCCCACTGCTGCACCCTGGGAGAGGTCAGCAAGGAGATAAGGCAGCACTTACTGAAGACGATCAGTGGCAGATCATGCCAGACTTCCACCAGTCTGTAGACAATGAATGGGACGATGACTCCACCAACATCACACAAGGAGGAGCAAATCATCACCCCGAGATTCCTGGTTCAGTAGCAAAGGAATCATGTTAGCACCAGAGTACTTCAGTTGGAAGGGGATGGATCACAACTCTGACTCTTGCACAGGACAAAACCAAGCACTGTATGTGACTTCAGATCCCTCACCCACCCTGGTTTTCTCCACTTTTCCCTTTATTTCAGTCATGCGTTTTCCCCTTTCTAAAGGTATATTTGTTTTCTTTATTAAGCTACCTTTTTAAAGCATTTTAATTGTAGCTCTGACACACTTGAGGATAACTTATCATAAAACACAACATACACATCAGCCTCAACTGTTTCTAGACCAAATGCCAACTGGGGGGAGGATGCACCTACCTGATGTATGTTGGATACAGTTCAGTGCTTACAAAGCAAACCATTTCAAAAGCCATTGTAATTCCCATTCTCCCGATGCAAGCGGTAATCATCTTTAACCAATGTATATCTGCAGAGGAAATGCATTCAACACATTTGAAAGTATCCCAGTGATTTAGCAGGCGTCAATCAATACAACAGTGTTATTTTGGGGGACCTCTGATCCCATGTCAGCTGGTGTTTTTAAGGGGCCTGCGTAAGTGAGGGAATGGGAACAGTCAGCACTTCTTGAGCACAGGGACCCTCACTAAGCAGCATGGAGGACCTGGATGACAGGGTGGGAAGCCCCCACCGGGTCTCATTCAGGTGACTCACCGTCAGGGATCAGGGCTGTGAGAAGGCAGGCGGCGCCAGCCACCAGGTTTGACAGAGCCCAGGGGTAGCGCCGCCCAACACGGTCAATAGTGACGATGATGATGAAGGCAGCTGGGAACTCAACAAGTGCAGAATAGAGGAAATCCAGATACATGTTCCCAGCAGCTACTCCCATGAGCATGATGAGCCCCTGATAGAGGACAGAACTTGTGAACCTGGGCAGAGAAGAAAACCCTGGGTTCGTTAGTCAGTCAGAGAACAGAGATGGGTGTCCTGAAGGAGTTTTCCAAACCAGAGCTTCAAAAACAGCTCTCCCACATTATATTCTTACCAGTTGTACATCAAAATGAGTGTGTTTTTTCTTATCTGTGGTGTTCTGACAAGGTCAATTAGTGAAGGATTCTGCTTTCCATAATCTTCCTCCTCAAATTTAATATCCTATGGAAGAGCCAGTACATAGGGCATTAGGTTTCTACCAGGAGGAACTGATAGAAGGTGATGCTTATTTACATGCATAAGCAAACCCTGAGCTCACCTCAAAATGGGAAGGCAACTTTTTCTGATTTTTTTTAGCTATATCACTGACAATTTTCATAGCTTTGTCATTTTTTCCTTGAGATATCAGCCACCTGGGAGACTCTGGGAGGCACCTGCAACACAAGTGGATGACATTATATACC